GTGTTGACTCAATCACCCCTTTCTTTAATTCTGGCTGATTTAGGATAAAGTTAGGAGGAAACTAGGGCCAGTCAAACCAGAACGTGATATCAGTACATGAAGCTATTGATTGTTGGTCTGGTCCATAATAATTTGTGCAGACTAGTTGGTTAAGGTCCACGCGATTATTCTGACCAATGGTTGGAGATGCTGAGTGACATGACTCAAATTTAGGTGCAAAAGTACAAATGCCTTTCCTTAAATCTTGAGTTTTAAGATTATTTTATACTTTTTATTCAACAGATTAACTGTATTTGCAAATCATATTATTATTGGTTTACTACGACTAATACTGTGGTGTGTGCTACTGATATCGACATATAGAAGTAGTATGTATCGCTATTTACTCATTTACTCAGTGCCGATGTAGTGTGGCAATTTTAACCGACTCACATACATACCAGGTTCCATTTTGCGCATTATTGACTGACTGCCTAGTTTATTATGACAACGAATGTATTTGATAATAGAGTCTACAAATCATATTTACATAAACTAAAGATTTTTATCCAGCCTAAACTAGTGTGCATAAGTTAGCATCACAGATATCCTTACATTTTTGTTAGTAGTTGTTGGCGTTACAATTCAACGGATTGCTTCGTCCTAACTACTCCGTAACCTCCCCCTTTATCTGCATGCGTTGAGTAATACTTATTTTCAGTAGCAATACTTCTGTTCCCTTGTTTAATGAATTATTTTATCCTAGCGTACTGTTTGTCAGTTAAACATTTTAACATTCTTGATATTTCAACAGATACAACATTTTGTCGTAACATCCGTGACGGTCGGTGGTATGAATATGATGATGAAAATGTATCTTTATTAGATAAAAATGAAATACAAGTAAGTTATTTACAGAATTCAAAATGATAGCATTTGTTAGTGTAACAAAGTCCTCGGATTTGAACACCTAATTTCTCTGATGTACTTGTTTCTTGGATGAATCAAATGAAGTAGCATTGTAATCAGTTTGTTAAATCAAACTGGATTGTCGCGATTACTGAATTTCAAAGTTGAATCAGTAGCTGCATGACATCACATTTTAATGTCTTCGAATCAAAAAGATATGTTTGTCAATAAGGCAGTACGGAGAAAATCCCTTCTACTCATTCAATCCTAATTTCTTTCTAATAATTTCCAAGAGTCCTAAATTTGATCATAGTTACTATTTTTATGAACTCCAAACCCATGTTAAGAGGGTATTCATAACCTTTTTATTTCACTCTCATCCCATTCATGGCGAGTTTATCGTAGGAAATGCCATATTATGCTTTTAATTATTTCCAGCTACAACTCTCATTTGCTAAAGTGCACTGCTTCTATTACTATTCCAGTTGGATCACTTTTACAAGTACAATCCATGTATTATATATATATATATAATTCTCACGATATTAAAGAAACTTGAGATGATTTGGAAAATCCGTTTTTGAAAAAGAGGATTTTCTCTGAGCTGAATGATTTAGTCAGTCGAGTTCTATTCATTATATTTGCCATGTAGTTAGTGAGACTGTAAGATAAATTTATAGTCTTAAATTTCTCAGTTTAGATCAACTGTTTTACTTTTTCTAAAGATGGAATATGAGGTATAAAATGATTTGTAGAAAGGCATCATTATAAGATGAAAATATTAAACCAATTTTATTGTTAAAACGAATCGTTTTCATTAATACCAAGGTATTTCTTTGAATATGCCTTGTTCTACTCTTAGTAGTATAGCTCAAATTACAAAATAATCCAGAAGTCTTTTGTGTATTAGGCAATTCATATTATTTAGCTGCATAGAACTAGTATTTGAATAATAATAATCACACAGACTCCCAGTTGCTCATTTCGGAGTCATTTGAATGCAATTTATTAGAATAGATCCGACTCGTAATTAAGATAAAGTTATATGTATAATTACTTATTTAATTAGTTGTATTTATTTCCTAATATAGATTGATGTACTACTGTACTACTGTTAACTAACTCTTTCCTGATAACTAATTGACAGAAAAATAAAAATGAGATTCAAACTTACTGTTTCATGTATCTTTTGGGAATGGTTAGACATTATAGAACTTTCCTGTATGATCACCACCGCCTATGTGCCTCAATAAATCATTTACTAGTAAAAAAAATACAAGATGGATTCGGTTTACAGATTTTCAGGCAGCTTTCGAGAAAATTAGGCAACTCCTAATTTCCAACCTCTTACTCGCACATTATGATCCTCTCCTACGTATTGTGGTTGCATCAGATGCTTCGAAGTATGGTATTGAATCAGTTAGACCTTATATATTCCTCGATAGATTTGAAAAAGTGATTTCTCATTTAGCTAGATTCTTAACAACAGTAGGACGTAATTGTTGCCATATTGAGAAAGGATCACTTCAACTTATCTTTGCTGTTAATAAGTTCCACAAAATGATATTCGAACGTCATCATAAACCATTACTAGCCGTATTCGGGTCTAAAAAAAGGGATTCGTGTCCACACAGCTTGCTGACTACAACGATGGGCAACCAAATTTATGGGCTACGATTTCAAGATCAAGTACCAGTCTATTACAGCCTTTGGACAAGCGTGTGCCTTATCGAGATTAATAAGATTCCAGATGAAAACTGTAGATGCCACTCTCGTGTCAGCAATAAAAAGTGAGATAAAAGTTCTTCAGGTGTTGTCTGATGCAGTCAGTTGACTACTGGTTACCTTAGAACTTATCAAAGAAGCCACTGCAAATGACAAGGCATTAAGGGAAATGGTCAAACCATCATTTTCAAGAACCTTTACAATACTTTCGTTGATGTGGCTCCTTGATGGTTGTTGACTCATGTCTTATGTTTGGTCACCGAATTGTCATTTCAAATTTATTGCACCAAAAATTCCTCAAGCAATTTCACCCGAGAAAAAATGTGGTTGGCGAGGATCACAATGGAAAAAGTGGAACATCGCTGTAAACCAGGCTACAAGCAACCCCGAGAGCGAATTTACATTTATTTAAAGAATGAAGGTATTGATGAGTACGAAAGTGTCCCTCATCAAAGTCTTTCGAGACCCTGGAACGCGAGAAAAAGTCCTAACCAATAAGCGTTGGACAGAAGTATTGCAAAAACATCTGAAAAATCTAGAATCGCGTGTCACAGCGTTGGTCGAACATTTACCTAAACTGCGTTTGGTTTCGGAAACCTCCAGTGGCACAAAGTCGTGTATAAACCCACAAATATCCTTGTTTTCCTGTATACGAGCCAACCTTGTAGTAAAGTTTTAACTCGCAGTTCGTGTCTTCTCTCTCAATATCACTTAACATATAGAAGTAGTTCATGTTATAGGAACTGGCTAGGAGGACAGTTTAGACGTATCGGTAGCAGACTTATCAGTTTACCTACATTCATGAGACAGGGTCCAGGACCTTCAGACCTCGTCGTGAAAAGTTACTTCCTTACTATTTAAGTAAAAATCCATCAATCCACAACTTTTACTTCAGTGAGTTTGCGACACTGTTACCATCCATTGCCATCGGTGTTAGGTGGTTGGACCACACTAGTAAGTTTTTTATAACGTCAGGAACTGCGAAAGGTGCAGTATTGCCGACTGACATCACCAGATGTTCTTGACTAATGTTTGAAGACCTTGGGTTCTATGGCTCATAATGAGTCGCAGACCCACTACATCGTCCTTAGTCTTGAGTTTAGTATTCTCCCATTACTAAATTCACAATCATAATTGTTTGTACTAAAATATATTTCCTATAACTATATTTTATAAAATTACTGATACACACAGTTCCCGTCTCAGTACTCCTCTCTCTGTTGATGTGCAATACAGCATCTTTGACCGATGAACATGTAAGCCACGTTATGAATATGAAATTTGTGGTAAACCATTTATGTGCTATAAATCACTCATTAGATTTTACTTTTTCTGCTTTATTCTCTTCCAGAATGATAATGCTTACATATTGTTTTATGAATTACTACCTCGTGTTGGTGTATTTTTCGAAAATACACATAGTATGCTCCGATGAGTTGTTCTAAATTGATTTGTTATTTATTTATAATATATATTTTTACTTTTCAGTAAATAAGAACACAATTTATCACGTTAATTTTTTGTTTGTTTCAACAATCAGATGTATATCTACATATTTTTTACCACTAATATTTAATAAAAGATAAATTCTTATCATTTTCTGGAAATAATGTTGGATATTTGTTATTTAAAAAAGCCTTGAACATGGCAATGAGTATTTATTAAGAGGAAAGGTCAGTACGACATACTTCTAAATGATAAGTTAGTAGGAGCGGTGTAACCAACCAGTTACATATTAAATGCCCTAATCGCAGCAGTCACCTTAAGATCACTTATAAACTGTTAAGACACTTAGCGTCTGAAACGTTACTCTATGGATATTTGAGCTGTATACCTGGTTGGTCGTATTAATACATTGAGTTCCATTACTTACACTTATTTAAATTTACGTTTACTGCCATTGTTCGTTGAGGATTTTCCGAGAAAAACAATGTAGGACACCTTGTCGGTTTATTCTTGCTTAGCCAAGAACGTTTATTCAATACATATATTTCACAAACTACTAGAGTGGTACGTGTGCATTTCCGATTGTTACTCGTTTTCACGAATTACGACGCCGATTCTGAAAACTTGGGAAGATTGATAAACTCTTCTGTGAGAAGACATTCCTTTTTCAATATATATCAAAAGTCACGTTCCTAACTTTTCTAAGTTTATTTTTACTTCCCATTTCAAAATCAAGCGCTTATAGAAGGAACAAAAGTTGAATGACAGGGAATGTATAAGCATCAATTATACTGATAACAAGAGTATCAGCCCACTATTAGAATATGACTTGTGAAATGAAAAACCTTTTGAATGATAAAAATCGTAATTCATTATTCTACTTAGCAAACAAATAACGTTTGAAGTGATCACGGAAGCTATGGTAGAAACTAGTATTGTTTGCTCTAAAAGGTACTTTATTTAATGAACATCAATAACCTAGTAAACAATAATCAACTGAGAAATGCTGATATGTTCACATGCAAAAGGATTCAGAAACATAAGCATATAATACATGTTAGCATACGATTATTAATCAGCTTGAACAGTGATAACTTTGTACAGCCGTTAAGAAGTCATGTTTTTATATCATAGAATAGTTATGAAAACAATCAGCGATGGTTGTAGTTTCACTTTGAAACTATTAGAAATAAAATATGTGTAAACTGATCCGCAACTTCAGTTAGACCTAAAGTTAACACCTGAGATTTTGAAAAAGACGGAGATACATTTAGTGGGGTATCGCCATATTCTCTCCGTTTCAGGAAGTAATCAGAAAAAATGCCGACAAAGGAATGTAAATAAGAAAACAAACTAAACGAATGTTGGTAGCTACGCTGGAATCGCTTAGGAAACAGTAAACAAAGTGCGCATGATCTTTTAGAAAAGATTCACAAAGCAAGCTATAGATTAAATTAGAACGAATCATAAAGAAACGAAAGAACCAGGTAAATAAACAAGATTAAGGGATCTCAAATATTAAGCCGGAGTGAATGAATGGGCAACAGTTGTTTCTGTAGAAGCTACGGGAGTGTCGTCTTCGAGAACTTCATCTACACTTTCTCCTCCATCACTTCTAGCACCAATGCTTGTACAGGCACTTGCACTACTGCTTTCTGTACATGGTACTTCCGTTAGAATCTCGTCTTTGTTTGACGACGCGAAGCCTGAATGCCCGGAATCTGATGATCTTGGGGTGGGGGATAGCGTGATACGTGGTCCTCTCCTAGAAGACTCGGAATCCGCATTCATACCATGTGAATGTCCAGTAGAGGGATAAGTAGCAGAATTTGCATATTTTTGTGTCCACAGTCGTGCAATACGATCATGTTCTGATCTGTTATGCATGTATTGGCTAGCAATAGATCCAACAAGCGGGTCGGCAGGATTGCAATCAGTAAGTAACGAGCAAATGGACAGTAGAACTTTACTAATGGTAAGAGCAGGAGACCAATTATTCTAAGGTACGAAGAGACAAGAGGTGGGAATAAATGGTGGGATTGCTGGTTAAATGTATTTAAGAAAACTAAATATATCAACAAATATTTACTCTACACGACAATTTACCTTGATGTTAACAGATTTTACGAAAAAGTATCGTAAGAGCATGTTTAAGCTCACTGGCTGACAAATATAAAAAACTAATGTTAATACAGGATCCCACTGTTGATAGGCATTTCAATCTCAGTTTTTGTTAAACTGCATGAACTACAAAGTTATAATGGCAATTCTTATATGGTAGATTAATTCGACATATCATTAATAAATGAATTAAATTTCTCAGTTTTCCGAATTATAAAAAACAATTGATTATCTATACTACTGTCCGCTTTAAATAATTTGTTAGTTGCTTTTATAAATTTTATAGTGATCTATTAAAATCTGGATAGAAACAACGTCATCGGAATCAGTCGGAACCTTTGTAAAACTTTAGCTGGAAGTTTTTTAGTGTGACCAAGTACTTGGTTGTTAGCATGCAAATGACCTCCCACAAATTGATAAGATTAACGGTCGGAAATTCCGTAAAATACTTTTTCTATTCAATGTGTAAAAAGTAGTGACAGAATAGTCAGGTTAGTGAACTGCATACAGAACTCAGTTATGGTAATGGAACCTCTATTTATAAGCTACTCTACAGATAACCTTCTTTTCTATGAAGTTAGCCAATAGGATTAGTGATTTCTATCATCTTCGAAGGTAGGTTAGAAGCCAGGGAGGCCTGTTGACCGGTTTGACATAGGGTGCGTACGTTGAAGGCTCCAATGTGTAGTTTGGAGAGAGGTTTCAGTAGACCTGAGACAGTGTTTTGAGCACTGGAATCGTTGGCTGTGGTGACACTTGAGGGGGGAGCCGAAAGAGGAAGTTTAGAGGTGAAAGTCGATGTAGGAGGAATAATAGGGATTGAAGAGGAAGGTTGATTATGAATACAGTGGTCTCGAGTGCTGTTAAAGGTATGAGGGCGGTTATTACTTCCCGGTTGCCCGCACCGAGGAAGGGTTCTTCTGGAGGTGCCTGAAAAGGAAATTGGATTAGAGGTGGTCTGAGTGACCTGAGAGTGTGACCGCAGTGCCCAAGGGACATCTGCTTGAGGTCGGTCACACACGACCTTTATGTGAGTAGTTCTCGTGTTAGCTCTGTACTTGTTGAAACCTTACCGCCTGAGACGAATATCCGTGGGATAAGGCGAGGTGTGCATTTTTAGGGTCAACCTTTCTTAACCCCACCCCTCCTTGTGGGAAGGCAGCATCGCTGTCATGCTGGTTGTCTGAAAGAAACATTTTACTGCTGTCACACCTCTGTACAGTCAGCAGTACGACTTCGCCTTCGGACCTTGTGCTTGTTGCTTTTAATCTTACCGCTCTTCAACTGACCTGTCTGACATGGTAGGACCTTGAGGAACGGTTGTTCCAGCCAGTATAGCTCGGTTGCTTCACCACGATAGGCAAGCTCGGCCACTGCGTCAAGGTAGCAACAACTCTAGTAGAAGTTCAAGAGGCTATAGTTAATCTGAAACGAGGAAGGGCAGCTGGTCCAGATGGATTGGCTTCAGAGGTCTTTAAGGATGGTGGTCCAATTTTAGAGATTAGGTTGACTAATATTTTAGCTTAGATCTGGGAGCTAGACGTTATTTCATCTGACTGGTCACAATCACTTATCGTCCGAATATATAAGAGAGGGTTAAAATCATCATGTGACAACCATAGAGGGATTAATTTAACTAATATAATACCGAAAATACTAGCCTCTATGATTATCGGACGCCTAACTAAGACCCGTGAACTGTAAATACGAGAGAACCAAGCTGGCTTCAGACCTGGTCGTGGCTGCATCGACCACATATTCACCATTCGTCAGGTTCTAGGACATAGGCATACCTCTGGGCGTCCGACAATGGTGGTCTTTCTTGACTTAAAAGCAGCATCTGACTACGTAGACCGCGAGATTCTGTGGCAGTGTCTGTCATTGAAAGGCGTACCTCAGAAGTACATAAACCTTGTGAAGGCTCTTTACTCGAACACTACTAGTCGAGTCAGAGCTTATGGCGAACTGTCATCTGCTTTTGCAACCTCAAGTGGTGTCCGTCAAGCCTGTCCACTTTCCCCATTTTTGTTTAACTTCATCATAGATCTACTGATGGAAATAACTTTCTCGTAGACTGACTTCTCGGGTGTTGATCTCCATCCAGGAGGTCCACTTATCGACTTAGAATACGCTGATGACATAGTCCTGTTTGGTGAAGACGCTGACAAAATGCAGAGCCTTCTCGTAGCACTAAGCAACAATGCCAGAATGTTTGGAATGCTTTTCTCTCCCTCGAAATGCAAGTTGTTGCTTTGTAGTGTTAGTCATTAGTTTTAGCTCATAATATATTTTATTCTAGTTTTCGGACATCCCATTCTATTCATTATACTTTACTTATTTTCACGATTTATTTCGCTATCATACTCACAAACAATTTATTATTATTTTCACGATATTTTGAATCGCTCATACAAACGTGTTATTTTATCGTTCAGACAGTCATAGCATTAGTACATGTTAATTTTTGTACGCTCATTAATTTTCTTATATTCGCATGCTAACGTTTCCATTTTTGCTCGCGCCTTTTCGATATTCATGTATTCTTTTGCATAAGAATGACATTTTCATATAATACGCTCACCCCTCATGTGACACTGTACTTTATCGAGTGTTGTACAATTTTTTTGGCTACTTATTGTTAACGTTAGCTTCATATCACTTCAGTGTTATTTTCGAAAACAGACATTTTTTAAATGTGCTATTTTCTACGAGGGGGCTATGTAGTGTTAGTCATTAGTTTTAGCTCATAATATATTTTATTCTAGTTTTCGGACATCCCATTCTATTCATTCTACTTGAGTCATGTTAATTATTCGCTTATTAGCCTTGACTGTTTTCACATGAGCGTACATGTGTGTACACTTCATGTCCGATGACTCATCACATGTCTGTAGTTCATTTTGTCTGCCTATAAATATTGAGTAATGTTCGGCTTGAATTGGAGTTGGCTTCCCAGCCATCTTCCATACGCTCTAAACAGGAGTCAGAACCACGGGCTACTAAAGCTCCAGGACTGGTCTGCGTTAACACCTGAACTAAGGATAGGGAGTGAAGTAGATGAACGCGTTGACAACTTCACTTATCTTGGAAGTCTGATCAGCCCTAATGGGTTGGTGTCTGACGAAATCTCAGCACGGATTCGAAAAGCTCATTTGGCTTTTGCCAACTTACGTCACCTTTGGCGAAGACGAGATGTCCGTCTATCAATAAAAGGACGATTATACTGCGCGGCAGTTCGTTCTGTTTTAATTTACGGCAGCGAAACATGGCCATTAAGAGTAGAAGACAATCGTAAGCTATTAGTATTCGACCACAGATGCCTTAGAAATATTGCTGGCGTCTGCTGGGATCACCGGGTAAGTAATAGTGAGGTTAGACGCAGGGTATTAGGGAATGATGGTAAATCAGTTGATGAGGTTGTGAATCTGCATCGACTGAGATGGTTGGGCTACATGTTACGTATGCCGGAACACCGATTACTACGACGTGCAATGCTAATCGGTGTTCGGGATGGTTGGAAGAAAGTTAGGGGCGGCCAAACCAAAACGTGGCATCAGTGCTTGAAGTCACTAACTTCTAGTCTGAGCCATGCTGGTAGATGCAGACTACTTGGTTGGGGTCCGCGTGACAATCGTAACTGATGGTTGAAGACTCTTGGTGACATGGCTGAGGATCGATCACAATGGTGTAGGTGTATACACTCTCTGTCTTCCCTTAAACTAAGAGATTAAAATCGCTTCATATCTTTTTTTCTACGAACTAATTCTTTCTTCCTGTACTATATCCTTATTGCAATCTTTCTTTTATATATTACCACCTCTGAATTAACTACTTTATTAATCAGGTGTCCATCTTGTTGGGTTAATGAGGTATGGCAACTTGGACCGATGCATATATACGTGCCTGGTCCTACGTTGTTATTTATTTTAACACAAGGATGCACCCATGTGCACCATTGGTTTGGTTTGGGATCCGGTTAAAGCGCCGGACATTCGCTTTTCGTCCTCTCATTTTCGTAAGCAACACCCCCGCCACGAGAAAGCAGTGAGTAGGACTTCCCTGGCAGAGGCCATATACGCGTGGCCATGTGAGAGCATTTCGAGAGGGAGAGCAGACTCTCCCCACTCTCGGCAGTATCAGGGCATTTGGGATCATAAAGGCGCTACGTTGTAGCTGACTGACTAAGTTAGAAGCACCTCCACATAATTGGATGCCTATTTTCATTGCCAACACCGACTAAATTTAGAATGTTAGTTTCAGTGTTTCACCTGCGTTAGCATTATAAGACCTAATGCTAACGTATTATCTAGATTAGTCACACTAATAAAGATAGGGAAACCTGAAGAAAGGGAGAGGAGAGGTTATGAAAATTGCAGACTGTAAACTGTATAATCCATGAGGCGGGAATTTATGCAGCAAGATAGGGAGTAAATGCACCTATATTACTGTGACGATTGTTAATAGTATCCGTACAACAGTTTCCACTTTTTCCGAAAATAATTAGTAAGGATATAATAACCTTGACTAACAGTCAGTAAACTCGTACAGAAACAACATACCACGTTTACATAACCTTCAAGATTCCTAAAAATATCAATGTGACAAGTCGTAAACTTTTTCGCATACGCAAAACGCGTTTCTCCTAACTCAGTCATCACTCAAAGTCTACAGACTGAAAAAAAACAAGTTCATTCAAATCCTATAATAACATGACAGTGGTCACTTTGGAAAAACTAAAAACGATTTTTCAGCTGAATATCTAGCTATGTACGAAGATATGAACTCGCTGAGGTTGCCAAAATAGTTTTAATTTAGCATGCAATTTAACGGATCTTATCACTAGCCTATCAACAACTTTCATTCATTGGATTGATAAAGTTTACTTTACGCTGAAAGTCTCCAAAAGACGTTGCCAGCTTTTGCTTCAAAGTGAAAATCACAATGAATAACTCCAGAATATATCCCATATTCAGCGTACTCTCTTTCCAAACAATTTTCTCAATATTTGATCTTTCTCATTATGATTACCAATACATTAATTCGACTTTTCAACTACAGTGAATTTGTTTGGGTAGGACCTCAAAAGAAATCCTCTATTAAACAGACAACCAGACTATATAAAGTGGATGGTCGAATGCTACCGATTAAAATCTAAGAAATTCTAAATGAGGTGGAATTGTGTAGCATTATGACTAAAGCTACTTAAGTTAATCAAATTATCAACAAGGACAAACAAGAATAATCGAGGTTTATATCCCAAATTACCACTCAGTCAGAAAAAAAGTTGGGGTACGGACATAACTTACCTTGAGAATATCTAGGCAAATCACACCTTGACTGTTAATATTGCAGTGATAGATACGAGTTTTAAAAATTACCTAAACGATTAACCGTAACGTATGATTAAGAGTACTTTTGGTGGCTTAAACGGATACTCCATAGAAAAGTGAATGTCTAGGAAGAATATTCCACCTTCGTAAACTGATCCTTGAGGACCTAATAAAGTTGATACCCATTCATAGAGATTATCTCCTCGCGGAAATGCACTGACAATAAAGTAACAACCGAAAAATCATACCTGCAATTGGGAGGAGGGTCTGACATGATGTCCGTTAATTCCTTTTGTATTCTTAAACGTATGTAATTTCGCATGAATATTACAAACCTTTTCAAACTTGTAGACATAGATTTAGACTTGAAATGTACACTCGAAGGGGGTTTTTGACCATTACAAGATGAAGGTAACGAGTTTACAGCAGTTGAATGACCACTAAAGGCTCTGTCATGTGTTCGTTTACGCACTCCACGTCTTGAATCAGAGGAAGACATAAGACTACGTTACAACGATGAAATCGTTGAAATGGCGGGTAACTATTACATAAACTATAACAAAGTCAGCCGGCAGCAAACATTGTTTAATAATGTTCAAGCTAATTATATAACTAGTCATTCCATTTAAGCTCTACTTCGCAAGTTCAAGGGTCTTCATATATAAGAGATATGCTGCTTCATGGTGAAAGCTGAAATTCTTCAATGTCTCAAGCGAAATAGTTCGAAAAACCACAGCAGAGCAATTTGTACCCGGAATTTTCAGACTATTTGAGAGACCATAGGTCCATTCAGTGAACGGCAAAGAGGCTTCTTATACCTTACAGAAAAGTGTAATTTGGGATTGATAGTCAACGAAAACAATAATATGGGAAAGGTTATCAAGATCATTGGATTCGGAAATTCGGTAAGTGGTGAAACTTGTAACAGAAGAGCAACCGCTCAGTTTCTATTCTGTAACAATCGGCAGGCGTAGAGAAACTGTTTTCAACTAATAAGTCACATTTTCGCTGTATGCATTTTGGTTTGGAAGTCTAGTAATGTAACTGACCTTCGCGTTCATTATTTTGAACTTTAAAACGGTTTCAGACATCTTATTAAAGGCTATCAGCCAGTTAATATATTTCATGTTTCTCTAAAACAGTGGGACCCGCTGAGATGTAAATTGATGACCGATGATCAAACCCTAACTGGTTTCGTTTTGGTTTGTAGTGACTCACGTTTATCACGAGAACACGACTGGTTTAATAAAAACAATTATTATTATAACCAACTGTACCAGTGTTTGTTTTAACGTGCTTTTGTTTGACTGTGCTAATGACAGCTACTTTGTGCTTCCATTCTGATACGTACACTTTGATTGTAACTTCGCGCGAATTCGGTTACCTTCTGTAACCAAGGTTGTATCCTGGCACGATCTCGGTATCCTTTCGATGCCACGAGATCGCCAGCAAATAAACCTCGACTTGGTCCATTAATTGCCTTCTGATATTCGGCTTCTCGGGGATTTTATGGAGTCATTTGGAACGAGCTTCTTACGCCTTCTGATTCGCTTGGCACGTGTTTCTTGGTAGCGGTGTTCATAGTTAATCTCAACTCGACACCACGCTACAATTGGTGAACCCGACGTGATCGCTCGTCACGAAAAGACCTTCAAGGTTGATCGACACGGCCGCGTCGAGATCGTCAGCATTGATCGTCTCAAACCAGCACACGTCGATGACAGTGCCCTATCTGACAACCTGAGATTCAATGCTAGACCTAGCAAACCTACTAGCGGGATCCTCAAATCATCTTCAGGTCCCACGCTAGATACATCTGAGACCTCATTCTCACGTCCCAGTCAACAGCACGCGTCATCTGCACCGTCTACGGACGAGACGACAGTCTCACGTCCAGATCAGCAGACCACGCCGCCCTTGACTTCGGATGAGATTGCAGGCTCACGCGACGCGAACGAGAGTGCCGTCTCACGTTCCGGTCGCCGAGTACGATTACCCGTACGCTTCCGCGACTAGCCGCACAGTCAACAACCGATACGGTGTAGGATTATTCCTATACTACACGTATGCTACACTCTTCTTTTTTTTTGATTTTCTTTTTGTTTCCTGAGCCCACGCCTTCGACCATCTCCGTTTGGTTCCGTCGACTTCAGTCAACTTTGGCGAAAGCTGGATTGGCCACCCACGCTCTTGTCAACGTTTTCAGTTGATATATTGGTTTCGAATGCTTGGCATACGCTTGGTCTCGAACTTGGTCGTTACGGTCGCTTCTGGTCTTTTGGCTCAACGTGGTTTCGTCCTTCGTCTGCAGCGTTTATGGTCCGGACCCGTACGAACGCCTTCTTCAGATTCTGGATACAAACCACTCTGGTGTAGCATGCCGACTCGAGCAATAAATACAACACATCGCTCCTGGTACTGTTCTCCGAAAACGACTTTCGTTGGCAACTCGACGATCAACGATTGCTTTCCTCTTCGCCAATTCTTCCGTCCTACAATCGCTCGTCAGCCGATCAGTCCCACGATTCAAACCGCTATTTATCGAAAGTGTAAACCCTTTCTAGCGGGGGGCTCCTGTAGTGACTCACGTTTATCACGAGAACACGACTGGTTTAATAAAAACAATTATTATTATAACCAACTGTACCAGTGTTTGTTTTAACGTACTTTTGTTTGACTGTGCTAATGACAGCTATTTTGTGCTTCCATTCTGATACGTACACTTTGATTGTAACTTCGCGCGAATTCGGTTACCTTCTGTAACCAAGGTTGTATCCTGGCACGATCTCGGTATCCTTTCGATGCCACGAGATCGCCAGCAAATAAACCTCGACTTGGTCCATTAATTGCCTTCTGATATTCGGCTTCTCGGGGATTTTATGGAGTCATTTGGAACGAGCTTCTTACGCCTTCTGATTCGCTTGGCACGTGTTTCTTGGTAGCGGTGTTCATAGTTAATCTCAACTCGACACCACGCTACAGGTTAGATAAATCATGCATGTAGGATCAAAGGCAAGTATGTATCGTTCTATTTTTTAGCGTTTGATGTATTTGCACGGACGTTCCAATGGTGTGCGCATAGTTTATGAGTATTTATGTACGTTTCGTTTAAGTTATTCGAATATTGTTTTGACTTTAATGAATGAATTAAACGAACTCAATTACGTGTAGTTATTAAATAATTTTATATGCGAGTTTTTGACAAAAAAATAAGTATAAACCGTAATATTATAACAAGAATATATTTCTGACAGGGCAGGTACACACCATCTTTATAGGCATGCTCTACGAATCGCAGCATTAGTTTGCTTACAGTATGCTTCCCAAGTATGGTCGTATTCTAGATTATATCTATAAAAGTAAATAACGGTACATTCGTACAGATGTCTTGGGGCTATATTGATTAGGTTTACGTCCTAGTACTACACGGGGTACAGTCTTTAAAATATTTCCCAAAGTGGTATCGCGTCCACGTTACACACCCGATACAAGCTCGATATAATTGCGTTATGATTCTTGCCGTGGTAAGTATATATGCAGTACAAATTTTTAAGTTTATAATTGTAAAGTAGATATATATAAAGTAGATGTGAGATAATATATGTAACCATGTTAATGAGAATATGAAAAATAAGGAAATTAATCGTTATTCTAGTGTGATTTGACAGTAAAGTCAGGTCTTTTGTAATGACCGTTTGTAATGATGTTTCAATATCCTCGATGATGGTACGGATTAATCTTCGAAAATCAATTTTTATAGGCAATATGTACAAAGAATGAAACGAATCAATTTTTATAGGTTTGATTGAAGATATTATGTCTTAATCTGAAACTTTGGATTTTTAAGGATGAAATTCATTTTGAAGGGGAAAATATTTCTAGAGAGTAAAGAGGAGAAAAAACTAAGGCATCAACAAATCCACCATGTTAATGGGAGTATATTGGACACTGACCTCCTAAGTTAAAAGGTTTAGTTGTGTGGTACGTGATTTGCATGACAGGGACCTGTGTTTACTGGGAGTTGTAGTGCTGAGGTATTTCGCACTTCGTCAATAATTTTATTTCGCGCTAGAACAGAGAAAATTACATACAAAGTTTGTATTTACATGTAATTTTGTTAAAAAAGCTAACGAATCTTATATTTGGACGGACGGTGAACAGAAGTGACTAACCACTTTAAACCGTGAGCTTGCGATCTTTTAAGCACGGACTTCTAAAGTGTCTGGTATCATAAAACTAAAAATTAGATAATAAGGATGGATCCTAATTAAAATCAATTAACAAACATTCAGCCATAGAAGACTGAGAAGTAAAAAGGTATGATTATTCTTTACTTGGATAAGGAAAAATGCTCAGTGCAGGAAAGAAAATAAAAAATAACAACCCCGTCAAGTGAAACACTTTAGATGGATTATTACGTCATGCATTTTGTAGAATCCAAACTAATGTTCGGACTTAAGAATATCTGTCTAGTTAGTTTAGATGCGCGCTGGATGCTCGCCACACTGACGCCCAATTGAAACTAGAACAAGATGATTGGGTAAATGCAGGTTCTAAATTTCATTAAAAAACAGATGTATACTATTACCTAAACAAACATTACCGCACAGTTCTTCAGCCAATAATTGTTCATTTTGAATAAATCTAAACTATAATAAATAAACAAGTTGATGTTGTAAGATCCATTTTGAATGTTTTGTGTGTTTGTGAAAATCCCTCCATGTATATACTTGCCCTTTGTTCCTATTGATCCCCTTAGTTGTACATTGTTGTCTTTTGATTACATTTGGATTGTTAATATTTGTATTTTATTACAGTTTTTATTTTTATTACTCCTTCACTAAGTTTTCGTGTTTCTTCCCGAACTGCATCAGTGTTGTTTTAGTACACTTTCCGAACGGGAAGTTTAGTCCTAACGTGAATTGCATTTATCAAACTTTTGCTGTGTTCTTACGCAACAAAAGTACCATTTCAGTTCTAAAGAATCTATCCTGAGGTATACTTTTGGTAGATTACTTTTTTTTAGTTTCACCATATTTAATAGTTACCTGTGGTTTTGCCTCAGCTTACTATTCGGTTTTTTTGTTTTTCACGTATAGACTAGTTTCAGTTTATATCACTCGTTTTATCCATTTTTGTCCGTTTTCACTGTGCTTTTTAGTGTTTTTTTAATGTATTAGGCTTTTGCAAGCATCTATAACATAGTTTGCTTCAACATAGTCATGAAAAACTCATGCAAACGTCCGGGATACCGTTTTGCTGTTACAACTGGTATACAGTGCGACAACTGCAAAGGTTGGTTCCACGAAGCATGCACAGATCTGACAGCAACTGCTTACAACAGACTCAGCAAGTCAGACCAAAAGTGGGTATGTGTCACGTGCAGCACGGACGCTGTAGTCTTGCTGAGTAACATCACTGTCCTACTGACCGGTCTTCGGAATAAATTGTCAGTTAACTTGGATAACGATAGAAAAAACCGGTAGACAAACAAGTGCGTGCGACGGATACAAAAATAGGGATGTCGACAGGTATACCATCG